AAGGTTCTGCAACCGTCGGTTGCAGAACCTTGCCCCCCGCACAGAGGCAGAGACAGATTTAACGGTTGCAGAGGCTATGCATTAGAAGCATAAATTGGCCTTTAGTCAGGGCTTCAGCACCATTAAGGAGAAGAAAACCAAACATTTAAGGCAATCTCTAAATCTTGTATTTATAGTCTTATGTTGACAGTGTTCAAATTAAAGTAGCTTATTGTTATTCTGTAATATTCAGTTTCTTTCTCTTGAATCACATTTGTGGTTATAATGAGAGTTTGAGTTGGATTATGGTTGGACAGAGCAGATCATGTTTATCTCCATGTTTTGTCCGTTTTTTTATATTCTGGCTGATAAATATCAGATATTGTTTTGGTTTAAAGCCCAAAAGATGAGTATGGAAACGGCCTTTATTTGTCCACATTGGTCGGTTTACCTTTGCAGCAGGTAGGAGGACATGCTGTGGAGCTTTCTCATCTGCAGCCAGAGGGTCCCTCTGGCTTCTATGGACCAGGTGAAAGGTCACAGCTTTCTTCTTTTCAATAAATGATTTCTTCTTTCGATGAGGCTGGAAAAAAACAACAAACACACACACACAAAAAAAAAAAACAATGAGAAAAAAAAAGAAACAAAAACTTTCTTTACTGAATCATTCAGGAATCAAGTACATTTCAGGTCATTATTATTCCTTGAGGTAAACAGCAATCCAATTTGGCTAATGAACAGAAATCGAAACAGTAATCTAGCAACAGACATAAAAACAATAACTATAGCATCACAACAAGACAGAAAATATAATGTCCTTTATACCTCATTGGGCATTTAAATAAGGAAAATCTGAGACAGAAAACGCAAATAAAAAGGAATGAAATTCGACAGATGTGTGTCCTTTAAACAAAGATACCAATGCCCTGGAAACCAAAAAAACAGCACTTTTCTGCTGTAAGTATTTAACACGGGAAACTTAACCATTTGCTAAAACTGCAATGCTACAGGCTAACGCTATTAGCTTAGTCTGGAAATGTCTTCTTACCATTTTGTTTCCGAGTCTTGGTGAGCTTCTCGTTTAACTGAATATTCAAAATGTCAGCAGGTTCCGAAAAAACTGTCAAACATCTGCGAAACTCGAGTCCAGAACTTAATCTACAAACTTGTAAATGAGGGTAAAACTATTATTAACATTGAGGCTTCTTGATCTCGTGTTTAACGTAGATCCCACAGTGGCAGGAAGTCTACAGTGATCTCCAGCGCTGATTGGTTGGAATGTTCCAGGAGGCGGCTCCTGTCACTGCGGCTCATCCAATCCGCACCAAGCTTTCCCCATAATCCCCACGCGATGCGTGTTCTTCCTCTACTACAGATTGATGGCAAACAAAAACATTTACACGATATTGCCACCTACTGGTAAGAAGTAAGGACTGCAAATCTATTAAATTCTGATGTTTTCCGTTTTATTCTGAAGACATAATGTGATTTTTCTTTCTTTCTTTTTTCTTTCTTTTTTCTTTCTGTCTTTCTTAATTTTTCTTTCTTTCTTTCTTTCTTTCTTTCTTTCTTTCTTTCTTTCTTTCTTTCTTTCTTTCTTTCTTTCATTTTCTTATTCTTAATCCTTCAGAGCAAATACAATACAATGTGTTGTAAAATCTATCAAATTCTGATATTCTCCATTTTATTCTCAATACTTTCTTTCTTTCTTTTTCTATATTTTTTCTTTCTTTTTTTTCTATTTTCTGTCTTTAATTTTTTATTCTTTTCTAATCTAAATTCTTACAAGCAAATACAATACAATATGTTGCAGCGATTGCTTTTTGGTCCACTCTATAATACCTCGAGCTCATTTTGAATTAAAAAAGCTTCCTGGATTGGAAATGAAACATCTTCAAAATTGGAAACAAAGTCCAGCGGATTGTTTTTTTTTAAAAACTTTTTGGGAATTTTATTTCTTAGGTAGTAAA